GGCAATTAAGTTCTTGGTGGATCATGTGCTTAAAAGACCTGTGCTATGGCTGCTCTGTAGGTAATTAAATTATTTTGATAACATATTTTAAAAGTTTGTTGCACGAAACTGTTGCAAAATTATTATATTTTATATCTTTTGAAAATTGATCTTTAAAGGCACCATATATCTAAAAGGCAAATTTCCCATGAAATGGATTATATACAAGGTTCAACAAATTCTCTATCACGTGCAATATATAAAGATTTTCAAAAAGTCTGGCCAGAAATAAGAGAAAGGGCAAATAATATTGATCAGTTTTTTTTTCAATTATGGGAGAGAGGGGTATTTGGTAGGTACTGGTTTTCATAGAAGGGTATTAGATACTAAGAACTTCTGCATAACAACCCAGGGTATTAGATACTAAGAACTTCTGCAAAACAAGATTGTTTTCAAAGGGGAGATTATAAAGTTCTTTGTGAGTTAATATTGATTTACCTCGGTGGCCATGTACCTGGTTTCCAGTTCAAACAACCAGGTGCCCACCATCAAGCAAGGTTCATGGCTGATTGTCTATACTTGCTTACAATGCAGCTGACTTCAAAGATTAATTTAACGCTGAATCAAAATGATAAAGATATGCTTGAACTGTCAATTGACTTTATTGTGACATTTTATGGAGCATACTTTTTAAAGTCTCCTATGGTGGCACAGGCTCCACCACACGATTTGGATGCTTTTAAGCTAGTTTATGAAATGATGAGCAATAAGCTATGTCATGGTTACACCCTATGTTTCAACGCATCCTTTAATTGCTGATCAACTGCGATTACCTCCACACAGTGGGAAAACAAGAAAACATAAAGCAAACTGTTATAACAGGAAACAGTCAAAAAGAAAACGACTTAGACAATCAGGAAAGGAATATATAAATGTTAGAGACAAAGTTATTCAACCAAGAAGTATTAAAAATAAAAAAGATTATTAAAAATAAAAAAGTATTAAAAATAAAAAAGATTGTAAAAATTGTTGCAAGTTTAAGTGTTTTGAGAAGATTTCAGAAGACGAGAGAAAAATATTATTTAATGGACTTATTTAAGCAACACTTTTTTAGTAAAACTACTGAACGATTAGATAAAAAAAGATCTCGAACCAATAAAGTAAGCAATTCAAGGAGAAAATATATTTATTTTTACAATTTCTTTGTTGATAATATCAAGCATCGTGTAAAGAGTTTTATTTGTCTACTTAGACATCAGCAGCAGGCAAATATCATACTATCATGAAAATAAACTTGAAACTATTGTTCCTGCCCCAACAAAATGGGGGAAACATTGTAAAAAAAGTTCTTGAAATAACTAAACAGAGTATAGAAAACCGTATCAACTTGTTTCCACGAGTTGAGTCATATTATCATCGAAGCATTTCCTGCAAACAATACTTTGATGGGTCATTAAATTTAAAGAAACTTTATAACTTGACTTTAACATATTGCACTCAATATGAAACTTCACCAGCAAAAGCATGTATGTACCGCAATGTTTTTAATACAAAATTTAATATTGAATTTCAAAAGTCGAAAAAAGATCTGTGTGATACATGCTAAAAATTTCAAATTATTGAAGATGCAAATGAAGAGCAAATTCAAAATTACAACAAGCATTTTCCATCAAAGAATGAAACAAAAATCGAGAGAGATATGGATCGAAAGTTGAACTTCCCTTCCACAACCATAGTTTGTATTGATCTACAAAATGTCTTGAGCTTGCCGAAAAGTATTATGGGAAACTTCTTTTTATAAAAGAAAGCTCAGCTGTTATAACTTAACAGGTCACTCTTCACTGAACAAAAAAGCATATTTTATATTATGGCATGAAGATATGTCAGGTCGATCTGGTAATGACATTGCCAGTGCTGTGATTTGTATGTTAAATAAAGTTTACAAGGATCTTTCTAATATTAACAAATTTATACTTTGGTTTGATTCTTACGTTCCACAGAATAAAAACAGTCATATGTCAGCTGCATTGCATGAGTTTCTTATTGATCATCCAAATATTGAAATTATTGAGCAAAAGTATTGTGAGCACATCTCTAATCAGGAATATGATAATATAATCAGGAATGTGATAAAGTCAGATTGAGAAATCATTACGTTCAGCAGAAATATTTAGTCCTCTTGGGTTGTTGAAAGCAATGTTGAATGTTAACCAACGGAAACCATTTTTTGTATACCAAATGCAAAAAAGGGACATTGAAAATTTTTCAAAAATTGCTAGTCTTCTGAACTACAAAAATATTCCATACTTTAATGTTAAAACGCTTGTATATAGGTTTTATGTTCTGGTCATGTGTATTTTAAGATTCGTTTTACAGATATTTATAAAGATGCACGGCCGTCTAAGCCAAAAAACACTCGATAATCAGGAAGTAATCTTGAAGAATCATCAATTCCAATGGCATCTTGTTTTCAACAAAATATTGAAATTTCTAGTGAGAAGATAAAAGATATTGTTTCTATGTATCCTTACATGCCAGCTGTAGATGTTTGTTTCTATAAAACATTATTTCAGTAGTTGTTTTTTAAACTCTTTATATACACTGGATACACTTTATTTGTGTTATGCACTATTCAGTTTTATCTTGTATAAGTTCATTTAACTTGTTATTTGTATTAAAGACATTTATCTTTTATTTTCAATAAATCTTTTTAGATAAAAGTAATTTTGTTATAAATAATATAGCTTTGGTTAAAATCAGTTTGTTAAAATTGAAGCTGCCCATCCTACCAGAAGCAATATATCTAATAAACTTATTAAATGACCATTTCCATTTAAATTTTCCAACTAAGTGTTTTAGGGTCTATATTTGCTTTTAAATCCCTAAATTAAAAGTAATTTCTTGTAATTCATCATCTCCTCGCAAAACGTCCAAGTTGTATTTACTAAAAAATGCAGATAGCACAAAATAATATTAACGCGAAATTAAATTAATCTCCAAACAGAGTGGGGCCATAATAGCAATTTGAGCAAAAAAAAAAATTTCACGACAAATAATTATAATGAGTATATAGTCAAGTATTGAAAAACGTTTGCACTATTAAAAAATTTATTTCCACTTCTGCTGGATTGCAGTGTAAAACTTCAACTTGATTTATCTCAGTTTAAACAAATGGAGAGTTAAAAAAAAATAATTCTAACCTGACGATATGTTAGGCCGCACCTAGAATTCGCTGTTCCAGTATGGCATCCGTATTTAAAGGACATTGAAAAAATTCAGCACAAAGCAAAAAAAATTCCTCATGATTTAACAAGTTTACCTTATGCTGAAAAATGTCGGCGTCTCAATTTTACTTCTTTGGATACTCGCAGGCGACTTGATCCAACAGTTTAAACTTGAAAACGGTTTTTAAATTATTAATTGGCATAATCCACCCCTTCTCAGATCACCGTCCAAAGTACTAACGCGTGATTTCACTTACAATAATGCTCGACATAATTTCTTCACAAATCGTATTGTGAATGATTGGAATTATTTACTGTTGTCATGCAAAAAGGCTCCGTCAATTAACGCATTTAAAAGTAGAATTGACAAGCATTTTTTTCCTACAGCTGCAAACAGTGCATCTTTTGCTGAAGATGAGCTGCACGTTTAATTTAATTAACTCGTGCTTTAGCAGCTACAAATATTGACTTTTTAGGTACATTTGTCATAAACGTTAACTGTAATTAAAAGAAAGCAAAAAAAAAAAAAAATGCTTTTGTTTTTTAATCTGTTTATTTGATTGTTTTTTTTATTTGTCATGTAATCTATAAAGACTTATTTAAATACATTACTATTACTATAAATGTAAAATTTTATTTTTTTATAAATTTTTCTAATGAAATTAATTTTGACTAGCCGAAATTTCGGTAAAATATTCGCTAAAATATCAGCTTTGGCACCGAACAAGAGTACCCAAAATTTCGGGGTTTTTTCTGTTTTGGTCGACCACTAGAGATACAAGTTTAATATTTATAAACACCACTATATTTTACGTTTATATAGAGAATTATTATATTTTACGTTTATATAATTTTTTAAGAAATAAAAAAATTAAAAAAAAAAAAAGTTTTTAACTTCTTTTACAATTAACATCATGTTATACACCATCCAAATAATTTCAGGAGGTTAAAAATCAAGTAATGTTAGACCGTTTATTGTATTCTAAAGCATAATTGGCCATCTGATATCTTTAACTTCTTTTTTTCGTTTGCTCAAAAAAAGATATCCCGTGAAATTGTTCAGTAAACTTAGGTTAGCGAAATCATTGATTCGATTTAAGTCTAAATTCAGATTTCAGTTAACTTGGAGTACACATAATTTAAATTTGGGTCGTAAGTCAACTTCGCTATATATTTCGCTTCTCAAAAAGCTGTATTTTGACATTTTAAGTGTTTCTAAATCACTGTAAAGAGCATTTAACTAGAAATATGCACGACCTATGATTTTAGGCAAACGTGTTAAGAAAATCAGAAAATTTGCAACAATTTTACGCTTCCTAAGTTCTACCCTGGTATATAAAAGAAGTTTTATAAAATTTTCTCCTTCCTATAGCAAATTAAAATTCTAAAGGTAGATGGGATTAAAGTTTTGAATATGTAAGTGAAACAACAAACGCTTTTGAAGCATTTCTATAAATTACTGCAATTATAAATGCTGTAACTATTTTCTCATACATTTGGCACTGTCACTTACTTTTTCGGCAGGATCATCAGGAAGAAGGAGAAACTGGCAGTAGAAGATTAAGTTAGATAAGTGTTTTTTTACTAATTTAATACTGATCTGTTCTTTGAGATCATATGGCACTCTTTTTTTTAAAAAATACATATATGACATACTATGTTAGTGTATTTTTCAATACACATGATTGCGTTTATGTGTGTGCGTATGTATTACTAAATAAGCAATGAGCTTATTTAGTAACACACATAGAGAAATATGCAGTGCTTCATTATAAGCCTAAATAAAAAAAACTTTACTAAATGGATATATAAATACTAATATTCTAACAAAACAAACAAACAAACAAAAAAAAAAACATATAATAATGACTGTTAAATGTTGTTACAGAGTATGATTAAAAATTATATAAAAGAGCTATAATTATAAAGACTATTAGTCTTCGGAGTGTCTTTTCTTCTTTTTCTTTTTCTTTTTTTCTATATAATAAAACCAGTCTATTATTTAATTAGTATTTAAAATACTTAAACGAAAAAAAAATCACAGTTAATATGTAAATGAGAATAAAGTAAACAAAAAATACCTTTATTAGAGGATTCCTCTTCAACCTGCAAAAAAAATTTTTTATAATTAATAGAAATTTAATCAATAATTAAATTTTTAAAACCCAGTGTGCTAAGACCAGTGGCGGATTCAGCATAGGGCGTGGGTGGGGTTGGGGAGCCCTCTAATATTTTAAGTATTAACAATAAGTTTCTTTTTTCCCCTGAGCCCCTTAAAAGTTTCTCATTACAAAATTCTGTTTATTGTAAACGGAAATAGAGAACTCGGCAAAAACAAACCATCGTTTTCTAATTTCAACAACAAACATGCCTAACAAATTTGCCATATTTATGGCAGAAAACAAAACGAAGACGTTTTTTTTAATGAAAATAAAAAAAACGTTTTCCTCCTTTGAAAAAAAATGTTTTTTTTTCAAAGGAGGAAAACAAAAAATTATAAATTAACTGATTTAAACATTTTAGAGCAATTTAGATTTGTTGTTAGGGGTAAAAAAATGTTTTCGGCAAAAACCAGTATGGTACCCTTCCCTACTTGTGGGGAGGGGCACCATACGGGTTTCACGCCGGCCCTACTTTTAAAGATGTGTATGCATCAAAATGACATAATTTTTTCCGAAATTGTCAGGATTCTAAAAATCATCAAAAAATATCTGCGATCAACAATGACAAAAAAATGTCATTCTGGGTTAAGGACCGGCAAATATTCGTTAAAATTCGGATCAGAAAGTTTAATGAAAGGTGAGTTTCGAAGTTCGGCTTTGACTTTAGTGCCTAATTTGAAAAAAAAATTTGGTTTCAGTTAAATTCGGTATTAAAAGTTAAATTCGGTATTAAAAGTTAAATTCAGTTAAATTCGGTAACAAATAGGGCTCCACCGGATTTAATTTTTCCAAACCCAGCCGGAGCCGGATTTGTTCTAACAGGCCGGAATCGGAGCCGGATTTCGAAACAAATTCCAAGAGCCAAAATCTTGTACATCTCTACTTGGTGTTGAGAATGGTCAAAAATTGGACTATTCAGAATACCAAGTGACAGCTGTTTTCTGCTAAACTTTATTTTAGTTATTAAAAAAGTTTTAAAGCAATTTCTATAGAAATTAATAGACATTCTATAGAAATTCTATAGGCCATATGTTTAAAAAGTTTATAGAAATTCTATTGAACTTTTTTTCCGGGATGTTGTCACTCAGCCATTGTAGTTGATCAGTGTGTCTATTTATTTCTGGTTCTTCCAGATATTGGCTTAGCTGAGTGTCAATGCCTTTTTGTCTACGTCCGCTTGTGACACATTGTTCATGTGTCACAAGCGGACGTAGACTGAATAATTTTATTAATAAATTGCCAGAGTAATGATGATGATGTAGAAAAATTATCCAGCCTGGTTTATTTTGCTTGTCCAATACTGTATATATTAAAAAATATACAGTATTGGACAAAACATTTGCAACCAACATCGAACAATGCTAAAAAGAGTTCCTAATTTTACATGTCTTAAAAACGAAACGAACTAAACTACCACAGCAAACAGTTCAGGAGTCTGGAGTCATAGCATCCCATGACATGAGCAATCAGCTGACAGGTGACAGCACACAGGCAGAATTTCGTTGACAAGTGCCATTTTGCAGCGGACAAAACAAATGCATCTTTTTCGGTTTGTTTCATTTTCTTAAGTCTGGTCCGTGTCAACGTCACGGAAGTTTTTTAATAATTAAAGGAAGTATCCAGAAGTTTCCAGAAGCATGCAGGAGCTTCCAGAAGTTTCCAGAAGTATCTGGAAGCATCCAGAAGCTTCCAGAAGCATCGAAAAGAAGCATCTAGAATCTTCCAGAACAGGCTCACACAGGTTCATTTTACTATATAAGAGACATGTAAACCGAAATGTAATTCAGTCAGTATATGGAAATCAATCAGTCAGTATTATCAAGACAGTTTATCGAAGTGAGTTTTATAAAGTGTTTTATCGAAGAACATCAATACAAGATGTGAAATACAACAAGTGTTTCATTACATCAATACAGTCCACATCCAACCAAGACGTTGTGTTCCACAGAGCATTATTGTATCATCACGGTAAGCCTTGAGAAGCGTGATTATTTATTTTTAATTTTTTTTATGACTTCAAGTGCAAAAATGGCCCCCGACAGTCTTGGATTGGAACTAAGAAAGAAAATTATTGGCGATTACGTAAGTGGAATGTCACAAAAAAGTATTTGTGATAAATATCGCGTGAAAAAATGGACCGTATCAAGACTATGTTCCAAATATCGTTCTACGGGGAAGTTGGCAGCAGATAACAAAGGTGGAAGACCGCATTCCACCACTTCTAGAGAGGATTTTATGATTGTCAGATCCGTCTAGAAGGATCCCTGGATATCATCAGTCGAAATACAAAAGCAATTAGAGCTGCCTGTATCGAACCGAACAATCAAACGACATGCTGTTGAAGCCAGATTGTTTTCTCGACGCCCTGCAAAGAAACCGCTAATTTCACTAAAGAACCAGAAGAAAAGACTCCTGTCTGTTACATCTCATATTGACTGGAATGTGCAGAAATTGCGAACTGTCCTGTTCAGTGATGAATCAAAGTTCAACATCATTGGGAGCGATGGCATTTGCCATGTACGTCGACCGGGCGGAAAACACCTTGATTTACGTTACTGTCATAAGATCGTGAAGCATGGTGGAGGCAATGTAATGGTCTGGGGTATTTTTCTGCTAACGGTCTAGGTCCAATACATCGAATCGATGGAATAATGGACCGTTTCATGTAGAAAAATACCCTGAAAGATGTTATGTTACCTAATGCTAAATGGAATATGCCAAAAAAAAATGGGTTTTTCAGCAAGACAATGATCCGAAACACACTGCAAAAGTAGTCAAGCAGCGGTTTCAAGGCAACCACCTATCGGTGTTGGATTGGCCGCTTCAATCTCCGGATCTAAACCCTATCGAGAACCTGTAGGAGATCGTCAATCGCAGAATTAATCGTGAAGGTATTCGTAATAAGGATCAACTGTTTGAACAAATCCAAAAGGCCTGGGCAGCGATTCCACAAAGTTTCATTGATCACCTGATCGAATCTATGCTTTGAAGATGCAAGGCTGTGATCGACAACAAAGGATTCGCCACGAAATATTGATAGCGAAATACAGCTTGGTCAACATTTTGTGGAGTTGCACTTGTTTTGTCCAGAAGGAAATCAACTTTTTTTAATACTTTTGATTAATTTATTAATTTTCGTGTACAAATAATGAACTTTGTGATGAATAAAATTTGAAGAACGTTGTCTCTAAACAGTTACATAGTTATTTCTTTAAATTGAAAAAATGCAGCACTTTTATATGAAGAAACTAAATTAGCATTATTTGGTTGCACTTGTTTTGTCCGATACTGTATGATATATTATAAATAAAGGTGTCTTACAGAATCATTAACCAAAAAGTCCTCTTTAAGCACGAAATCTTACTTTTTTAATCACTTTTTTTTATCGCTTTTCAAAAAATCCTTATAGTAAAAGCAGATTATTTTGCACAATATTTTTCGTGGACTTTTTCCTATATAAAATTAGCGTTCAAAATCTTTCAATGAAAATTGTTTTCGTACTTTTGTTAATGTTATGTCGTACTTTTGTTATTCATTTGAAAACATTATTAGCATAACTTTCTCATCATGGCTGCATTTTTTAGATTTTCGTTTTAGACACAAATTGTCCCTGTTTTTATTATGCATTGATATACGGTTAATTACGAGCTTTCTATTTAAAAAATAACAATTTTAGTTTAAAAAATGATTATTCGAAAATGTATTACTCTTATGAAAGTAATAAGTTTATAATATTATGTATGTTTTTGGCAAAAAAGTTAGTTGTCCATGTGGGTTTTTTTTTTAAAGAGACTTTTTAATTTTTGTCGATTTATTAAAATTTTAATTAATATTGTAAACATAATAATATACACATAATGTAAACATTAGTTAGTTTATACACGTAATAAAAACATTAGTTTATACACATAATATAAACTGTTTATACTACGTGTATTTCATCAATCGATAAGCAAGTTGAATCAATTAAATTCGATTTAAACGTCTGACTTTGACTTTCAGTTAAACTCAGTTTAAAAGTAAAAATTAATATTTTAGTTAAATTCGGTTTAAAATTCTGAATCCGTTATTTAGTTAAATTTGGGGTAAACATACTGTCTTAATTCCTATTCCAGTTAAATTCGGATCTTAAAAAGTCAACTTCTTATTCTGGATTGATATTAATTTTAATTGAACGTCAACTTGCTGAGAGCATTGACTTTAAATTGTCAATAAATAATTTTTCTTCAACCCAGCGGGCACAAACTTGAACAATGTCCTTAAGACGTCAAATCAGCGACGTCACAAATCCGTAAAACGCCTTTAAAGACGTCCAACAAACGTTCTGTACCCGCTGGAAATTAAATATTTTTCTTAATGTTTTCTTTCAGTAATATGTCTAATGTAACCAGATTTTTGATTAATAAAACATTGCAATAATATTAATTGTTACTTTTATTTTTAACGATAACTTATAAACCGAGTAAACTTATTATACTCAAACTTTAGATATTTTAGTTACTTAATGTTATGATAAAAGGCCCATAAAAACATCGATAAAATATATTTATCACAAGTTCGCCGGGGTTTCTGGGGGTTAATATGCTACTCCCAACCCTTGTCACCCTCCTCATTCCTCTGGCCCCCACGACACTAAACAAACATCAACCACCACTGGCTGAGCCTCCTATGTTAACCCTTTTTAAAGTTTAGAAAATTAAAAATAATAAAGTTAGAAATATTATTATAATAAGAACTATTAGGCTTTATTGTATTTATTAGAAGAGATAATACATGTACTATAGGATACGCAGGTCCATATTGTTAAAAAATAAATTAATTAACAGCGTACAACACCGACATTATACAAATGAAAAATTTATAAAACAAAATAACAATAAGATATGCTGTTAACGCAAAAATATCATTTTGAAATTGTATGAGTTAATTTTACTCTTAAAGATGCTGATATTATCGACATTAACAACATCAAAAGGGCAACTGATTTCAAATGTCAACAATTTGGTAAGAGAAACTATATTTTCGAATATCTAGTCAACATTTTTGTTATATTATATCTTATCTTTATGAATCTTATATTTATGATTCCGCGTGTTGCTTTTAGATTTATCAATTGAAACTTAGTTATGCAGCACGCTGATAACCAAACCATGTTTTAATCGTCTTGTCTCAAGTGACACCAAAACTAACAACTGAAGTAGGATATAGTAGATTAAATTACTTAGATGCAGGACTTTTTTTGTGAAATGCTTTTGCACGTTCTCAACTGCTTTTATTTTCAATAATATTATAGTTCAATATGATATGACGACCGAATTGGGGAGCAATATTCTAATATTGGCCTAATATATGGAGTGAAGGCTTGTTCTAAGATACTAGGATTACGAGACTTTAAAATTAACCATGCTTAGTTTCACGAATAACGTTTGAAATATATTTTTTAAAGTTAATGTGAGAAACCAGAGTTACACCAAGATCTTTTAGATTAGAAGACTGAGCTAAAATATGATCTCCTAATTTATAGTTGAAATTAATACATTTATAATTTAATATAATATTACTTAACGTATAATATCAAGAACATTAACTAAATAAGTGGCTTTGATCTGTAATGCAAAATTATCTTTATAACTTAATACAAATGGCATAAAGTTTTAAGGAGCAATCAAAAATGTTACTATACTGTTTAAGTTGTATTAAAGCAGAGTTGTTAGTCCTTAGCCTTGCCTTAAGGCCAAAAATTAGGCCTTCAAACTGTTGGCCTTGGTTTTGGCCTTAAAAAAATTACATATTTTCTTATCGATTTTGTTGAATTCTGCGCATAAGCTTGGTTTATTTTTACAAAATGTGGTTTTATTGTCACGCCACTTGCTACTTACAGTTTTGTTAATAATTGGCCTTAACATAAGGCAAAAATTGAAGTCTTTGGTCTTGAAAATGTTTGCACAAGCCTTGGCCTTGCAACTCTTAATCTTAGCTTTGACCTTAAAACTCTTGGCCTTGGCCTTGTAACTTTAGGCCTTGGTCATGGCCTTGCTATTTTTGGCCCTGTTAACAACTTTGTATTAAAGTAACAACAATGTTGAACCTAACTCAATACCCTGAAGAACTCCACTAACAATGCAAACTGGGCTCGATAATGAATTTCCAACCCATTTATTTGTTTGTAAGAAATGCACCAATCCTTATTAATTTTGTAAGTTAATTTAATCCTTATGATTAACTTACCTCTTAAGTTAAACAAAGCAAGATTAACTAATAATTTAGGATGAGATACAGAATCAAATGTCTTTTGAAAGTCAACATTTTATTGTTAAATGTTTGCTAATCTAACACTGTAATCATTTACATATTCTAAAAGATTTGTACAAGTAAATCATCTCTTGAGGAAACCATGTTAATTATGTGATATAATTAAGTAATTAATTATATCACATAATTAACTGGGATATAATTAAGTAATTAAATCACAATAACCTAATAGTTCATTTAATGAACTATTAGGTTATTGTGATTTAAATACTTAATTATATCCCAGTTAATAACTTTTTCCATTTGCCTGACAACAATTGCATGTGAGTGAAATCGATCTGTAATTATTAGGGTCGGATGTTGCTCCTTTTTTAAAAAATTGGTAAAATAAAAGCCATTACTGAGCCAACTTTAAGCTAAATACTCTACATATTTAGCTTAAAGCTAGCATCAAATATAAATGAAAGTGGAATACATAAAACAAGAGCTAAATTTTTTAGAAGAATTTTCCTGTATTTTGCCAGGGCCACTAGATGTACTGGATTTGAGCCCAAATAAAGTTGAATCTCCATCTCAACTGAAAAATTAATGTTCTCAATGTATATAGTGTCGTCAACAGAACTATAAATATTTGGCAAGTACTTGTTATCTTCTGTAAAAATATTTCCAAAGCGTTTGTTAAACACATCAGCAGTTTCTATATTGTTTGAAGCTAACTCGAAATTGTTGTTTATGTTATTTATAGGATAGCTCCTTTTATGATTATTTGGTTTAATGTTAATATAATTAAAGAACTTACTAGTTTAATTGTCATCAACTAGTTTGAATGCAATTCTTTTTTGGTAAAAAAAAGATTTGTTTACATTTCCTGGCATATATGATGTAAGTTATTTTGTGTGGATTAGTTTTTGTAAGGGAGTAAATCTTTTTTGTAAAAATGATTTTTTTTGTAAAAATAATTTACGATTTTTTTTTTTTGTGTGGGTAAAGCCTCTTTTTACTATAATATATTTTTCATACAGGAACAAAGCAATCAATCTCAATCCAAAAATGATGAAAGAAATTGTTTAAACACTTGTCAATAACAAAAGAAATTAATGACATGATAAAAAGATTCATAATTTTTTCAAGGCTGGAATCTATCATTAACATTTAAATAAAAAAAAATAGAGTTGTAGTTGCTGGTACTAAAAGAACACTCAACAGAAATTTTTCTTAAAAGATAAATATTATTAGAAAAAAGGAGGTCTTAAATTTCGGATTCTTGTGCTAATTGACAAATTGATGCATACCAAGATTACTGAAAAATGCTAAAAAAGCTATAATACTTTTCATTTGGTGAAATTTAGTTAAGCCAGTCAATTTTTGGTAAGCTAAAATCACAAACAAAAACAAAATGAAAAACTGAGTAGCAGAAATCATTTATAACCGGTATCTTAGAGAACAGATAATTAAATGAAGTTTTTAGAATCCGAAGTCAACACAAATTATTGCAACATCATGGTTACCTTGTGAAATTGAAAAATTAAAATTACAATTTACACCATTGTTTAGTTTATTGTTATTTAAAAAAGGTTATATATATATATATATATATATATATATATATATATATATATATATATATATATATATATATATATATATATATATATATATATATATATATATATATATATATATATATATATATATATATATATATATATATATATATATATACACACACACTATATTCTTGAAGTCTATTTACAAAACTTCTGGCATTAAAAAGATAAACGGATATTAATTTGTATGAATTTCTTATTGGACTACTTAAACTTTTTTTTTTTTTAAATTCTTTTGTTTTACAGAATTGATATTTTTATGATTGTTAGAATATCTATATTGATATTTTTATGATTGATAGAATTATTTAGAGTTATTTGTGTCTTTAATTTAAACTGGATGATTTAAAATGGATGATTTAAGTTTTTAATTTTAAATTGGATAATTTAAAGTTCATTTCAACTTTAAATACAGCTAAATTTTTGCAATTTACAAATTTTATTTTAAAATTAAAATTTGCAAATTGCAAAATTCAATTAAAAACTTTAAGTGCAACTAATATCTTTTATTAATGAAAAAGCAATTTTTACTTAATAAACATTATAAAAATAGAGAACATTTAAACAGGCAATTTGCTAATGTTATTAAATTCCTTAAGGCCAATAAAAACAAATATGTGATAAAATATATAATGAAGATAATTTCTATCAAGTACATTTTTTTTTTACATCAAGAACAATTTATTTTTATAAAAATCTTAAATATGTTAATTTAATATATACTATAGATATTATAGTGTCAAAAAATTAGGAATAAGAAGCTTAAATATAAATATAAAATATATTTATTTTTAATTTTACATTCTAGTATATAGTAATCTAACAAAAAAGAAAAACATTTACCTCATACACAGGCTCTTCTTCTTCTACTGCAAAATACAAGAATAAATTTCAACTATTTTTAAGTAATGCGGTCGTGATGTAGTGGTAAAACACTCGCTTTATAAGCAAGAGGTTCCGAGTTTGATCCCCACCACGTCCCTGGTAGTACCGCGCTCAACTTGTTTCTCCGCACAGCGGCCTTGTTCTTCAAGGTTCGTGTTTTGGAGTTACAGAGTTGAGAGAGGGTTATAACCACTATTAAGTAGCCTCCTCGTTTGTAGTGGCCTTCTAGGCCTTGAGGAGGTGAATAACAAACAAAAAAAAAAAAAAATAATAATAATGCATTGTAGATAGAAAAAAAATTCTTTTTTACTATGCAAATTATTACAGCCTACCAGTCATACAAAACAACAAATATATAAGAAATTTTATTTTGTAAAAATCTACTAAAATAAAAAACATTTCATTAAATAAAATTAAAATTTCTCTAAAAAATGGTAATATACCTGTCTTCCTTTTCTTTTTCTTTTTGTGAGTAACTTCAGGCAAAGGTTCTTCAATATCTAATTAAAAAATTTCAGTTACTTTACCCTACTACTTTAATTGCCAATGTTAGAGAAGATAACTCAAGTAAGATAAAAAAAACCTAATTATCTTTAATTTAAAAAGTTAAATTAAGGCTTCTTTTGTTCAAGAAAAACCATTTTAATTTTTTTACAGATAAAATACTCTCTCCCCACCCCTCAAATTAACGCTTTTAAACATTCAAATATTCATAAACTTCTCAAAGTATTATGAATATTTGAATTTTTATCTTCTTTTACAATGCAACGCAAGATATATTATAATTTAGTTTTTTATTTATTTAAGTGGTGAAGCCCAGTTTATTCATCTATTTCATTTACTCAAAAACTGTCAAAGTTTATAACTATTGCTGACGAGGGCAAAAAGAAAATACAGCAGTATACAAGCTAAAGAGAGAAAAAAACAAACAAAAAAATTATTCCTGTAACTCCTAAAATTAAAGTGTTCTTTAATCCTATACAAACTTAAACAAACTTAACAACTTAAGATTTATTTTATAAATTTATGAATAAAAAAATAGAGCATAATCTAATTTTTATTACAACTTCTTTTATAAATTTATAAGTGAGAAGGGATCATATTACCATAAAATAGAAATAAGAAAAAAAAACATCCTGAAAAAAAACTGTGGCACCTAGTAATATAGACCCTGCTTGCTCAAGTCAGCACTGCTAGAAGCCAATTTTTTAAAAACGCCAGAAAGGAATGAGGGGGTTGGGATTGGAGGAGTAGCTAGAGCTATAAATTCTCTTGCCCTCAGTACATAAAAGGTTCAAGAAAATATATGGCCAAACTCCTATTACAACCTTAATGTTTGTTGTTCAGTAGCTTGTTCCCACTGCAGAAGAAACTTATTTAGTCTAAACAATGAAGAGACTGCATATCTTTCCATCTATATATATATATATATATATATATATATATATATATATATATATATATATATATATATATATATATATATATATACATATACATACATATATATACAAATAGTATTGCGTACTAAGGTAAGCAATCTGACGTCATACTGAAATAGCCTGCTGCTGGGGGCTTCAGTACATACATCGACTGACAAATAGCCTGACTCGCAGTGGAGTGCTGCTACATCGACTGAGGGTTTGGGATGGGGCATCAATCGTTTCATTTATCATTCTTCCTTTTTTTTTCTTCCTTTTCAAAAAAACGATATGGCTTAAGGTAAGCAAAAAAAGTGAACAAATGCTTATCAAAACACGCTTCAGTAAGTGTAAATGTATATATATATATATATATATATATATATATATATATATATTATATATATATATATATATATATATATATATATATATATATATATAAGTATGACTAATACAGTAAATTCTTTACTAAAACAAAACAAAAAAAAAATTCATTTGCTTATTATTTAAAACTCATATATAACAATTTTTTAGACTTATAAAGATAGAATAATTGAATTGCACAAAAATTATAGGGAAAAGCTAAAATCTGCTTTAGTGAATTTTTAATTTGAAAAATGAAATTTGAAAAATCAAAATCATTTGTGTTATAAATTTATTTACGATAAATGTTTTTGTTTTTTTTTTAATGAAAATTGATGGCTTATATGATGATAATATTTAGAACTTAGTTCACATATATATTTTTTTTTGACAAAAAAGTTTGCTTACTAATGTATATAATTAAATTCAAAAAAATCCAAAAAAATTAGTGGGAGAGTTTCAACCTGGTTTTTAATTTGAACAAAAAATTTTTTGCAGAAAAAAAACACAACAACAACATATTTGTTAGTATTATAATTACTCATTAGGAGTATCAACTAATCAACTCATTATAACTAGGGGGGTCCATAATCGTCTTTTTTTAGATTTTTTGTAGTTTAACCAATTTTTCTTAATTAGTTTTTCATGCTGATTCTGAAAATAATAGTCATTTTTTCTTCATTTTAATTATTTAGCCTTCTACTTCGATCTTAATAAAAGTGAATATATTGACAAAAAAAGGCATTGTTAAAAATAGATGAAATAATTATTATCATTAAATATAAGAAAAGCAGAAAACTAGAAATCTTTTTCTCTTTAATTTATCAATAATATACCTTATCATTTATAAGTAACAAAAAAAATTAAGCATTATATATGAAAATAATTAATACAGTTTGTTATTTACTATTGAAAATAGAAAATAACTATAAAAGTCATCATATGTGATAGAGATTGCTGCGTGAACTTTCCTTATAGAACATCTAGGTTATGAGCGTGTTCTTTGTTAGACATAAGATGGAGGTTTGTATTTTTATATCAACAATCATGTATTTAAACAGAATAGACCTCCGCGATAATGACCTACATTGTATCCCTAAAATAAAGAACCTCAATTTTCGAACTTTTTTTTCATTTTAACATTTCTTTATCTACTTCAATAATGTCTAGTTCACAGCTAAATGGGCTGCCTTATAACTTTAATCAAGCTAAAACAGAACTCATCTTGTACACCTGATGTAAAGTTTGCTGCTCTTCCATTGTTATCCATTTGTTTTTGTAGCTGGTTTCAACTATATTCCATAATTTCAACTTTTTGGACAAATAACTAAAAAATAATTTTCCAAAATATTTTTAAACTGCGTGAACCTTCATTTTTTATATGGTTTAAATAATTAAGTATACATCTGTTGAAATTAAATGGATTTTTTTCAAAGCTTTCCAACTGCAATAACTTAATTAGAAAGTTAATACTAATCATATTCCATCATCAACCAAACACATAATACTTTTCTCTTTTTTGAAGTCCTGAGGCTAACTTTTGCCAAAATACTCTTGCAAGAATGATACAATCATTCAACCTCTTTGAGGTATACTTACTAACTGCTTCTAGAATTTTTTTTAACTAGCTATTCACTACGTTTTAGGGTAAAGCAGAAAATTTCAAAATTTGATCACCTTGTTTGTTTTTTAAAAAACCTTTTAGGTAGCGGTGTTCCTTTAGCCTGTTTATCTTTAGAATTGTTAAAACTTTAGAATTTAACTGAACTTCTACTGAATGGCACTTTAAAAGAAGATTTATTCTTGACTTCATTAAAGAAAAGTGAAAAAAAATGAAGTCTTGAATAGCCTTTTGATAGCTTGAATAACGATTAAAAATAAATAAAAAAAAGGAAATTAAAATATTTTGAAGCAATCTGTCTTTTTGATTACTTTAAACGCTTTGTTTAGAAAAAGACTTCAGATTAAACTTTTTTTTTCTAAAACGCAACAATTAAAAATCAAATTTATCCAATCAAAATTTGAATAGCATAAATTTGAAAGAAAAGTTGCGTAACTTTATACGCAAAGAAACTTTTGCAAAGACTTTTATTTTTTATATCTTTAAATTTTAAAAATAGAAGTAGAAGGTCAACCATAAAAAATTAGCAAAAATTGAATTGTTTTTTGAACTTTTCTCAAAAAATTAATTAAGAATAACTGGTTAAACAAGAAATATAGAATTTTGGACCCCCCCCCCCCCTATTAATACTAGTTAAAAAAGTAGATAAACAAATATTTAAACAATAACAAAATTATAAATATAACATAATTATTTAACATAAATAACATAATAAAATAAACAAATTTTTAAAGAATAACAATTATGAAGTTATTAGCTGCTTTTATACCTATTATATCTTCAGAATGCTTTTTCTTTTTTTTCTTTTTCTTTGACTCTCTTCTATCTTCATAATCGTCAATATCATTACTGCTATTATTATTTATATCATTGTCTTTGTGATTTATTATTACTTCATTACAATCATCTTTCTTAGATTTTTTCTTCTTCTTTTCTTTAACAACTTCCTCCAATTTATCATCAGAAATTAAATTCTTAATTTTAATGTCTTGTTCTTGTGAATCCTTAAATAAGGCTCTTGGTTCAAGCAGATCAACCTAAACATTTATATTTATCTTAAATTATTTCTTATTTATTTATTTTTAATAAATCTAGACTTTAGTTGTAATAGATGATATTAATAAAGTAAATTACGTATATTACTTTTATATATATATATATATATATATATATATATATATATATATATATATATATATATATATATATATATATCTGTGCGTATGCATTTAAAATGCCAATGATGATGTCATACTGACATATACAAATGCAGATTTAAGTTGACAAAGAACAAATACATTTTGTTTTGTTTTAATACATTTTTTAAAACATAGACTTAAATCTTAACACTTTTTCAGACTAAGATGAAAGCGATAAAACATTAGGAAAAAAAAACAATTTTTCTTGTTACAAATTTACTTTTTATGTAGATACTGCCCAAACCCAAACTCTCATTAAATACATGTACAGAATCCCCACATTTTTTTTGAAACATCTTATAACAAGTAATATTTCATCGTAAACAAGTTATATTTCATGCACAGTTAAATATGCATTTATTGATGTTCTTAACTTTTTTCTACAAATTACTAATTATATTAACAAACAAAAAAAATTTAGGTATGAAAGAAATCATATTATTATCAATTAAAAATTATATATATAAACAAAATTGAAATTGAAAAAAAACAACACAATTTTATAGTGTAAAACTTTTCCATCAGGAAAGTCCACCATTTTTTAGATTGCTAATTATTTGGTATTTTCACTTTCGATTGTCATAAATTCATTTAAAAATGTTCACAGCAGTTGCATTACAGCAGTTGTTGTGATAGGCAAACGTGAGGTCTTCAATTCAAGTTAATCACTATGCTGATTTTCTATCGATAGGAAATTTTATAGAGAATATAATTAAAAAACAGTTTTAAATATGCCTTTAATATATTTTAAAACATGTATTTAACAATATAATATATACACATTTCAGTACATGTATAAATGTAAGCCAAATAATTTCGAAAAAAAAACAACAACAAATAACAATAACAAAAACATTACCAATATTAGCTAATATAAAAGTAGCTTATATAAGAAAATTTTAAGATGCAAATAAGAGTACACCAATTTTAGTAGAACTTCCTTCAAAGGAGGAAAAAATGGAAGTATTGAAAAAATGCAAAAATTCTAAATTCACAGGAATATTTATTGGTCCAGACTTGACACTTAGCGAGAGAGTATTAACTAAAGCCTTAATAGAGAAAATGATGATTTGAAAAAAAAAGCCTTAAAATGATGATTTAAAAAAAAAAGAAGTAGTTGATTTTTTGTTTGGAATAAGAAATAACAACATCATAATGATGTTAAGATCAAGACCATAACCATGCAAACATGAAGCTGTTGCCTCTATTATAGGAGGTAGGTAGTATATACTGCTACATTAAATTCGCATAAAAATTTATTCAACATCTAAATCAACAAATCTAAATGACAAACCAAGTGAGCTAAATTTTAAATATAAATATTTAATTTCTAAATTTAAACATTTTTACGTTGATTTTTATATTTCATGTAGAATCTTCTTCTAACAGCTATTCTTCATTATGTCTTGTATATACATAAAAATATAAAGCCATTGCATAGCCTTTTGAGCTACACCCCGGGTTAAATTATTCTGAACTCTTTAGTTATTAAGCAGCAGCTTGATATACTTTTATTAGCATTTCATAATGAAACGATAGTTTCATTATGAAATGCTAATAAAAGTATATCAAGCTATAAAAGTATATCAAGTTATAAAATGCTAATAAAAGTATATCCAGTTTTTTCAACTTTAAGATAAGCTTAACATTTTAGAACCAATTAAACGCAAAACAAATAGAAAATAGAAATTTTAATTATGGAATCTTTATGAGTGACAAAGTTTTGGAAATGTATAAAAAAGAGGACAAAAAAAAGAACAAAAAAAAAAAAAAGAACAAAAAAAAAAAACGGAAAAAGATTCGCAAAGAGCAAAAAAATTGCAAAAGATGATTAAAAAAATAAAAATGGTAGAAGCAGAAAAAAGATCTAAATCATCTAAACCTGTTGCTAAAAAGAAGCGCGAATGACCAGCTATAAATATTTAACAATATGTATGCTTTTAGTTGTTTTAAGAAATGAAATTCGAATTTCTTTTATTCTTTCAAGCTCAAATACATTTATTCTTAATGTTTCTTTGTAAATTTATTGCATTTTTTTCAAAGAAGAATTTATAACAGGTAATTGCAGTATTTAGTTTTTTTTAAAACCGCAAAAAAAACAACTTATCTACAGCAAAAAACAGATTTCATATTGCAAAAAAAATATTGGTTAAGTAACTTTGTTTTTAAGTAAAAACAATAAGGGTCAGTAAAGAAAATTTTAAACAATAATGTTTAATATTTTCTTTACTGCAAATTTTGCAGTGTATTTCATTTGAGGAGAAACAGGAGTTAAAAGTTTAAAGCAAACAAAGTTTCAAAAAGCGGAATACAGCATAAAACAAATCTTTTACCCAACAACAAACAACAAAACTAAAATTTTATATAAATATAAAATTCTTATATTAATGTATTATTTTGATATTAATAAATATATTAGAGTTTTTGATAATAGAAAATATAATTATTCAAGAGGAGATTATGATTCCTTCAACAGGTTTATTGAAGATAAAAAGTGAAGCCAGCAGGTTTTGTTCTTTCAAAAAATTGTACATCTAACTTGTTGGAAACAATTTACAATATTCTTACTAACTATATTAGTCTAAGGATACCAGTAGATATTATTTACTTTTTGCCAAAGCATTTGATAAGATTTTGCATTAAAAAAATTATATATAAATTAGGCAAATATGGGATAGATAATTAAATAATAAAATTCATGCTTTTCTGACCAATAGAAAACAAAGGAACACATCAGGAGATTCTACATCTAATTGGATACATATGACTAGCTGAGTACATCAAGACTCGTTGCTGAGACTCATATTATTATTGGACAATATTATATGTCACTGCAAACTATTTGCAGGCAACACAAAGATGTATCTAAAACATGGACTATGACTTTCAATGAGAAAAAATGTAATGTAATGCATTTTGGTCAAAATAACAAGAATTATAGCATAAAATGAAAACAACTGAAAAGAAAAAAGACTTTATGGGTGCATTGTTCACAAAAGACCTTAAATAGAAGAAACATATTGCAACTGTAACTTATAAAGCAAACTATTTTTTAAGATTAATAAGGAAAACTTTCAAAAGTAATAACAGAATTTTAATAAAACAAATGCATCTATATTTAGTAAGATTTCACTTGAAATATGCAGCATCTGTCTGGTGTCCATACTTAAAAGGTGAGATTAAAACTGCAGAAAGCATACAAAGAAAAATGACAAAAATTATTAATGAATTAGGAAACTACAAAGAGTAAAAACTGACTAAAAAGATCACAAATTATGTCTCTAGAAACATAAAAAGCAATGGATGACCTAATCGATCAATATAAAATCTAATGCTCCAACCAACTGCATTTAAGAAATCAGCACTCAATCACTAACCAGCTCATAAAATCGTGATTACCAAGATACATTTTTTTTTACCAAATGCCGAAAGGAAAGGTCCTTACCGATATTGAAAAAGGTCAATCAGTAGTCTTACTATTATTAGCAACAGCGTGCTCAATATGGATTAAAATCAATATGGATTTTAGTCCTCTATAAAGGTTAGGACTGGATAGAAACTAAAAATATATATATATTTTAAAATAGGAGCATAATCTGAAAAAAATTTTTATTTATAAAAAGTTTGAGCATGATTTTTTTCCTAATGTCTTTGTTTAAGGGATACAGTTTACCATATGGTGCAATATATAAAGCATCTTTATGGGCACCACCATAAAGGTGTAGGGGAGAACTTGCGCCCTTGATCCTGTGCACTATGCACCTACTAACTTGTCACTATGTACTATGCACCTTTGATCCTGTAGTGTTATCTCTATAATTAATTAATAGTAATGAGAAAATTCCTTGGACTATTAAATAGTTTACTGAGTAATAACTGTGCTTTGAGACAAGTTCTTGAACTATAAAACACAAAAAACCATTTTCATCACTTTCATCATTTTCATCAAGTTCTTTAAATCATTAACTAATATTCGTGATCTTTGAAGTAACTTTTCTGCTGTTAAGTCTTATCTCTTGCAAAGTTCACCAGACCTACTTGCTCTTAGTGAGACTAATTTGAGTTCAGCTTTCTCATCATGTGATCTTAGTGTTGATGGTTATCTTCCTTTAATTTGTTAAGACTTAAAAATAAATTTGTTCAAAAAAAAGATTATTACAACATCCTCAATTAAGATAAACAAGAGTTGTCATATATGAAACTTTTGATAACTATGTAACAATAACTTATTGCAAATTTACATTATATTTAACTTAGTTATTGCAAATAAACACAACTTATCTACTTTTTTTCCTTCCTTTATAGCTAAATACTTTATAACCTTGTAACTTGAAACTCAATACATAAAGCTCATTTAAGTGTGCTAATTAGAAAAAAAAAAAAAAAAGTAAAGGATTTAATAGGTTATCATTATTATTAAGAAACAATTTATAAAGAAAAATAATTTATTACCTTACTATTGGACTTCTTCAAATTTTCATCATGCGATTCTTGGTTAAACACTTTAAAATTTTCTGTTATACGATCGTTTTCATCAATAACATCATGGCCTAGTTCTTTACAAAGAGATGTCAGCCGTGATTCTAATTCAGGACAATAAAAGGTATTTGATCGTAGTAACTTTTGTTCTTGCAGAATAAGATTTTTTTGTTTTTTTGCCTCAGCTTCTGCCAACAGTTCTACTGGATTTTTATCACTTTCTTCCTTTTTTTTTTTAGATTTTGTATTAGTAAAGGGTTTCGCACTCATATCAGCTTTTGAAATATCATAGCTATTAAATATTTCTTGAAATCTAAAACGTATAACTTTAAAACTTAATATATATTAAATTTTACTAAACATTTCACTAAGCAAAAAAATTGTCACATATTATATTTTTAGTTCTAACAAGGCTTGGACTAACGTTTTAAGAAAAGAAGGTTTGGCATGCTGATTTTTGTTTTATGTGGCCTAAAATAAATTTCTCACTTTACATCAGTAATAAATTATCAAACTTGGTCTCTAAAATCTGGTACCCCAGTCAGTTATATGACTGGGGTACCAGATACTTTCTTCCAAAACTTTTGACTTTTTTTTCTTGAATAACTTTGTTTTTTAAATAACAAAAACATAAAGTTTATTTAATTGTGTAGCAGTAAAGCACACACTTTGAGTTTGAAGCTTTAATCCCCAAAACATATATATAAGAAGCACGCTTAACGTATTTCTTATATGTGTGTGTGTGTGTGTGTGTGTGTGTGTGTGTGTGTGTGTGTGTGTGTGTGTGTGTGTGTGTGTGTCTATATATATATATATATATATATATATATATATATATATATATATATATATATATATATAATATATATATATGGTTTAGGGAGGTAAACACAGCAAAAGAAAAAAACAAAACTTCAAACACTTCTGTATTAGCTGCTGAATGGAAACTGATATACATTAACTCACTCCAAAAATTTATGCAAACTTTTTGACACTATTCCAGAGTTATCCTCAATAGCTGCTGAATTTTGTAAACAGTGCTGCAAGTGTTTTGTAAAAATTAGTTAATTATAAATGTGATAAATTTTATAACAAAGAAATGAAGATATAGTCAACAAAGAAAAACCTGTGGAATTGGAGAGTTAAGATACACATACAAAGTTTATGTTAATTAATATTTTAAAATTATATATCTGTGTTGTTTTTATATATTTTAATGTTTGGTGTTATTTGGTCTAGATAAATTTAAAAAATGATATGTTGGAGTCAATAATAAATTTTTGATTATAATCTTATCTTCTTACTTTTTTAACCACATTGTAAGATGGCTGCAACACATCTAATAGTCATTTTTTAAATAAATTAAAGGAAAACAATTATGTTTTTTAACTTGAAATATGACAACATCATTATCAATTTATTGAGGATAACTCTTGAATAGTGTCAAAATTTTTATGCTCAGTGCGACAATGGCAGCTGCGTTGACAACAGAGGAAAGAAAAGGGATATTGCGAAAATAGTATCACACTAACTATCAATGGGTTTGATACTGGTTACATTGCAGAAGTTAGACACCAAATTCATAAACTTAAAGCATAAATATATATTATATATTATGTATACAGGTTAAATATATGTCTGTATATATTTAACATTTAGTAGAGAGTTATAATAGATTGAACATCAAAATAAGTCATGTTACTAATCAACAATTATAATATGAAGGAAAGGACATCCCTGATCTTTTTTTTACTTCATAAAAACCCAACCTCTTTATTTCAAAACATCTATATTAAAGTAAATAACTATATCTTGTACAAACTAGTATATAACTACACAAAACACCTACCACAAAGTTACACAAAATAATTGAGTCAGCTAATGGTTTAATCAACATAAAAAAATTCTTTCACATTAAAATAAATTTTACGTATAAAATCTTAAAATAAACAAAATTTAAAAATACTTACAAATGATAAATATTTGTTATTTTGTCAAGTGAAACTCCCATAATAGGTTTTATCTACAATAAAAATGATAAATATGTATAACACTGTTGAGTTAAACATACATTAGTTTGTATCCTTGTATTTATATGCAATATTCGAAATTCAAACTTTCTTGAGTGCCTTAGTCTTTTATACTAATTCAACTACATTGATAACAATCAATATAAAAACTTTTAATAATCTTTTTTTTTTTTTAAACAAACATATGTTCTTTGAAATTTTATCTTTAAATTATACTTAATCTTTTATCTAATTGAAATATTTCGCTAAGCCTGTTAAAATCCTAAAAAAACCTAAATTTTTATAAAATTGAACAGAATTAAAGATATTTTTTCTATTTCAAGTGGTTTTATATTATATTTTATATATATATATATATATATATATATATACTGCGACCATTTTCTATAGACGCATGTAGAATTTAGCGAATTTACAGTGTTAAAGTGGTAATAAAATTGTTCTTACGGTACTTTTAAATAAGTATACGTAAGAAAACGATGATCCATTATGCATTTGATTATTAATTGTCTTGATTGTATTAAAATAATTAAATTTTTAATATTCACGTGGCAATTTTCTATAGACACACTAAAGTTTTTACGAGTTTTTTCGCAAATTTCTTATATTCTGTGGTATTTTTTATTTTGTCGAAATTAAGTTGAACTAAACCAAATGCCGAAAGGAAAGGTCCTTACCGATATTGAAAAAGGTCAAATATTGGCTTTTCATCGAGAAAAAGTTCCAAATCGAGAAATTGCTAGAAGATTGAAGAGATCAGATCACGTTATCCGTAATTTCTTGAAAAATCCAGCAGATTATGTAACAATCAAGAGGAAACCAAAGAAATCTAAGGTTTCAAGTCATGAAAAACGCAGAATTGTTCAACTCGCATCAAATTCATCAAAAAGTTTGAAAACAATTAAGTCAGATTTGGGTTTAAATGTTTGCAAGGAGACAATTAGGAAAGTTCTTAAAGACAGCCCACACATTGTACGATCAAAAATGAATAAAGCACCAAGTTTAAAGCCCGTTCACAAACAGAAACGGATGGAATTCGCCCGCGAAAACATGGCACGCGATTGGGAAAAAGTAAGAAATTTTAGATTAAATTTTCATCAATACGTAAGATGTCTAAATAGCTGAATATTTTTGTTTTCAATACCAGGTTTCAGACGAAAAAAAGTTTAATCTTGATGGGCCTGATGGTTTTAGTGGCTACTGGCGTGATTTGAGGAGAGAACCCAAGTATTTTTCAACAAGGAATTTCGGTGGTGGATCTTTGATGGTTTGGCTTGGGTTTTGTGCAACAGGAAAGTTAAATTTAGCATTTACATCTTGAAAAATGAAAAGTTCTGAATACATTGATGTGCTAAAATCATGTTTGATTCCATTTTAAAACAAATATTGACGCAAAAAGTTTGTTTTCCAACAAGACAAAGCCAGCATTCACACTAGTAACGAGACTAAAGCTTGGTTTGAAGCTAAAAAAATCGAGCAAATGTGGTGGCCTGCTCACAGTCCAGATTTGAATCCTGTTGAAAATATCTGGGGAATCATTGTAAGACATATATATGCTGACCAGAAGTAATATAACTCTTTGGCAGAGCTAAAAGTAGCGGTATCAGAATGCTGGGAGGATATGGAGCCAAAAGTGCTGGAAAACTTGGTGGGAAGTATGCCAAAACGAATTTATCAAGTAATTGAGCGCAAAGGAAGTCCAATCGAGTACTAAAAATGTGATAAAAACATTTTTTTTTGATAGTTTAGTTAAAAAAAGTGAACTGCGTCTATAGAAAATAGTCAGCTATCTTTTGAATTCATTTATGATTGACCTTTTTCAAATTTGATATTATTTTTTGATAATTTTCATTATTTTTTGATACTTTATTTATAATTTATTGAAATACACTATAAAAATAAAGTTAAGTACGTTTTTAAGACATAATCCACATGCGCCTATAGAAAATGGTCGCAGTGTATATATGGGGTAGTGGTTTTGTGGTAAAACACTCGCTTCATAAGCGAGTGGTTCTGAGTTCAATCCCCACCACGCTCCTGGTAGTACTGCGCTCAACTTGTTTCTCCGCGCAGCGGCCTTGTTCGTCAAGGTTCGTGTTTCGGAGTTATAGAGTTGAGAGAAGGTTATAACCACTATTAAGTAGCCTCCTCGTCTGTAGTGGCCTTCTCGGCCTTGAGGAGGTAAATAACAAAAATATATATACACACACATATATATACATATATATATATATATATATATATATATATATATATATATATATATATATATATATATATATATATATATATATATATATATCAGTCTTGGACAGGACTGGCATACAATCAAAAGCTATTGATGACCATGCAAATGATTTCTTTGCTGACATCTTAACCAAGACTGTTTAAATGTTTTGATGAAAAAAGAAATGCTAAGTTGAACTTGAACTAGGAAAAAATTTTTAAAAATTAGAGAAAAAAGAAAACAATTCCTTACAAAAAAAAAGTAATAACAAGCTAAAGAATAAAATTCAAAGCAAAAATTACTTCTCCATATATTTTTAATTGCGTTAGAAATAAATTACTTTAAAACTCTTGAAAGCTTTTATTAAAGTTACACTAAACTCTTTTACAAATTACTTCTAATGATTAATAAATGAACAGACTTTATTTAAATTATTCAAAAGTGAAATTAAATTATTTAAAAAAATATATATTTTTAAATTCTATAAATCAATTTTTCAAAATGTTGCAAAAAAATTTTTTTTTACAAAAATAACGTAGTATTTTTAAAATAACAATTTTTAATCATTCTACAAGTAAGCCAAGTTTAAAAAGAAAACTTTTAAACAATTCCTTGTAAAATCAGGAACAAATAAATAAAGCAACTAAAACATTCTATTGCAATGGAAAGATTTTAATTTAACTTATTAAAAATTTAAACTTAAAAAATAATTTTTCATAAGATTTTTTTAAAGACATAAAAAAAAAAATAGTTAACAAAAATTAGTCGACTAACTTTTTAGTTAACTAAAATTACCAGACTAACTTTCTAGTTAACTAAAATTAGCTGACTAAATCTTTAGTGTAACTAAATTTAGTTGATTAAAGCAAGATTGAAAAAAGAAATAATCTTTTGCATAAAAATTTTACACACTGGGAAGCTTTATTAAGGCAATAAATATTATTTTATTGTAATTAAACACTTTACTAACTGTGAATCATAGAACCCAGTCGAACTAAACTGTTATTCAAAAAAAATGTTTTAAGCAAAATTCGATTATTTTGATTTTTTGCCAGCTCAGAGACAACTGCCTATGAAGTTGTTGCAACTGTTTATAAACACCCAATCACCATGGAATATAGAAATAATGCCCTTTAGTCAATTAAATCAAATTTGGTACGCTTATTGAACATTTAACTTATATTTTTTATGTGCTGCTTCCTATAGGTAGTGTACAATAATAATCGCACATCAAAAATAATCTCCCCTGCCAAGGCCGTACTGACCTGAGTATGGGAACCTTCCTAGGGTTACAACATTCTGTCGGTTTTGTCGATAATTTAAAAAATTTGAGACTCGGTCGGTTAAAACTGCAACTTGACTTTTAAATAAAAAAAAGCTCTACTTTGGTGAAATTCTTATGGTAAAAAAACTTATTTATTTTGCACCCCCTCCCGCTACATCTTCGTTGTTCAGTACAGCCCTGTCCCCTGCCATATTATAGGAATGGATTCAATCTCTGATTTTCACAACAAATCTACGACTCCCCCTCCCCACCCCTTCAAATATCAACCTCTCCTAATGACTATTGTAACCGCAAACACTACAGTTAGGCAGGCGAAAGTATTGACATAAACCCAAAAGGTAATTGTTAAATAAGTTATTATGAATATATTTATTGCTTTCAGAGTATAATTGTTCGTCGGTTGGCAATACTTGCAAAATTTAAAAGGAAGATTGGCATTTGCATTTTAAAATGCAATATCCGCAATATAAGTTGTTGAATAGCGTATAAAATGTATTAAATAATACTTAACTGTTGAATAACGAAAACATTTTATTAAGTAACTGTGGTTGCTTTTAAAACCAGGAAATTGTTTATGACATTTTAATTACTTGAAAAATGCAATACGTTGTTTTTAAGCACTTAAAAATACATGTAAAACAGGGTTGAAACAATTATCAATTAAAATTCAATAACCTTTTTATTATCTTTATTTTTATATTAGATAGATACTTAAAAAAATACTAAAGAATATATAAATATTTAAAAAAAAAATCAAACTATTAAAATAATAAAAGTAAAATAAAAAGTTTGTTGTTTTAGGCAACATTATGATAAAACTGCACACTCAAGAACATTAAAATCACACATTATTTTTTTTAATTTTCAATTTTTTCTTTATCTTTTTTTTAAACACATTTTAAATTTAAAAAACTATATTAATTTTTTAATTTTTTGTTTAAAAAAAAAAATCAGTTTTACACAAAAGAGTTCGAATACTAAATTTAATAATATTTCTTTTAGAACAATAAAATGTATTAAAAAATATTTATTACAAGAAAAAACTTTAATATTAAATTTAATGAATTTAAACTAAATTAAAAAATTCCAAATTTTCGTACAAAAACATCAATATTTGAAAACATTCAGTTGTTATTCTGTTCCGCTTTGCATACATAAGTATAAGTTTAATACATTTCCCTTTACATGCATAAGTGTTTAATGCGTCAGAGAAAAGGCGTTCACTTGGTGCACTGGTAGCAGGCGTACATAAAATCATTGTTGAAATACAATACAATATTGGAAAAACATGTTAATTTTGATGCCAAAAGTGTAAAAACATTTTGCTCATTTACTGACAATTTTATATAACCACTAATTTCTTTTTTTAAATCTAAACTTATTATTTTGTCACTATCATTTCCGAAATCATCATCTTCATCGTCAAATGATAACTTAAATTTTTTTGATTTGATTGTCACCTTTTTAACTGGAATAATATC